TTTCAAAGAACATTTTTATTTCTTCTAGAATCCAGTAGTACTCAAGAAGTGTGTTATTTAATTTCCAGATATGTTGTGGTTTTTCACCTTTATCCTCTTACTATTAATTTCTATTTTTATGACATTGTGGTCTGAGAAGGTACTTTGTATTATTTCAATTTGTGGAGACTTCCTTTGTGTCCTAATATATGATCAGTTCTGGAGAATGTAACATGTGCATTTGAGAAGAAAGTAAATTCAATGCGAGTTGGGTGAAGTACCCGAATATGTCTACGAGGTTGTGTTAGCTAATTGAATAGTTTAATTCCTCTGCAACTTTGTTGAGTTTCTTTCAAGCTGACCTGTCTATAGTTGGAGAGTGATGTGTTAAAAAGAAAAGTCTCGTGCTACTATTGTAGTGTTGTCTATTTGTTTTTTCAATTCTGTTAACTGTAGTTTTATGTATTTTGCTGATCTGTCATTTGGAGCATAGGTGTTAAGCAAGGTTATAACTTCTTGATGTGTTGTGCCTTTAATCATGATTTAGTGTCCTTATTTTTTATGGTAGTTTTCATCTTGAAGTCTATTTTATCAGAGATTAGTATTGCCACTTTTGGAGTTGTTGGGTTTTTTATGCTATTTGCTTGGTATAATTTTTTCCCCCCATGCTTTGCTTTTTAGTCTCCTGTTTTCCTCGTCATGTGTCTCTTGTAGGCAACATATTGACAGGTTTTGCTTTTTTATCCATTCTGCTACTCCTTTTTCTCTTAATCAGTGTGTTTAAGCCATTCATGTTAAGTGCGATCATTGCTAGGCCAAGTTTTATTGCTGCCATTCTGCTATGTTCCTTTTTCTATTGTTGCTGGTTACTTTGGCCCCTTCAGTTTCCTTTGCTGTCATTGTGTGAAGAACTACCCTTAATATTTCTTATAGAGTTGGTCTTGTTTTCACAAATTCCTTAAGTTCCTGCTTTCCCACAAATGACCTGATTTCCCCTTCACATTTGATCGCAGTTTTGCTATGTACAATATAGTTGGCTGCAGTTGTTTTTATTTCAGCTTTCTGTATATGTCATCCCACTGCCTTCTTTCACACATGGTTTCTGCTGGGAAATCAAAGCTTAATCCAAATTATTCTCCTTTTTAGGTGGCTGTTTGTCTCTTGCTACTTTTAGTGTTCTGTCCTTTCCTTTGATTTTGGAAATTTGAGTATGGTAAGTCTTCATGGCTTTCCTTTGCAGTCTAGTCTATTTGGAGTTTGCTCAACTTCTTGAATGTAGATTTCCTGGTTTTCCTTGATACATGGGATATTTTCTTCTAGTAACTCACAGTTTTCTCAGTGCTTTTCTATGTTCCCCTCCTGTTGTGGAATTTTCATTATGTGTATGCTGTTGCTGTTCTGTTTGATTTTATCCCTAATGTTTTCTTTATTTTCCTTCCATCTTCAATTGTTTTTTTCTTCTAGTAAATTCCCATTAGATCCTTCTAGGTCACTGATTCCCTGTTCCATTTCTTCTATTCTGCTTTTATTTATCCCTATAACATGTTGAAAAATTCTACCATTTCAGTCTTGATATTCTAGATTGCGTTTTCATACTTTCCTATTGTTTCTAGTATAAGTTGATTGTATTCTCTATGTCTTGTGATGATTTTTTAAAGTTCCTGTACCTCTTTATTTGTAGTTTAAATTCTTTCTTCCGTCATTTCTAACGTCTTCAGTAGCAGTTTGTGTAACTTCACATCTCAATATATTTCTTGTGCCTCACTGTCTCTAGAGTATTCATTCATTGGGTCTGCAATCTGCTCTGCTTTTTTAGGAGAATATATTTTTGTTTTTTCAGAATATTTGAAGCTACCTGCTGCTTCCTTGACATTATGTGAAGTTTTT